GAAAAGGGCGTTTCTGAGGTGGAGGTTCTTGGAGTTGTCCTGTATGCCCATAAGACTTCGGGGAGATCGTCGACCCAATTTTCCTTGGCTGCCCCAAGTTTGGCCTTTAGAGTGTGCTTGATGGTCTTGTTGACAGCTTTAACTTGGCCATTTGCTTGCGGTCTGGCGACTAAGGCAAATTTTTATGGATGCCCAGCTCGTCGCAGAAATGCTTGAACTCCTCGTTGTCGAACTGCTTCCCATTATCCGAATGAGGGTGTGAGGAATCCCATAGCGGCACACTATGTTCAGCTTTCTGGTCGTGATCGCGACCAGCGGTTCAGCTTCCACCCATTTTGTGAAATAGTCTACCGCGACCATGGCATACTTAACTCCACCTTTTCCGACTGGCATGGGACTGATAAGGTCGATCCCCCACATGGAAAACGGCCAAGGGCTAGACATCGTTATCAGCTCGTGAGAGGGGGCTCGCGGAATGTTCGCGAACCGCTGACACTTGTCACACCTCTTGACGAAATTATGGTTATCTTCTTAGATCCGGGGCCAATAATACCCTTGACGAACAACCTTGTTCGCGAGGGATCGCGCAGCGGTGTGATTACCACATATCCCTTCATGGATTTCCCTCATGATATAATCTGCCTCATCACTGGTTACACATCGGAGGAGAGGGGCACCGAATCCTCTCCTATACAGCTGGTCCTTGATGAGTGTGAAACGAGCAGATCTTGCTCACAGGACCCGTGCCTCGACCTTGTCATCGGGCAAGATCCCATCCTTAAGATACCTGTAAATGGGCATAATCCAGGAGTTTGATTGCGTTACATTCACGTCCTGCTCGGTCGGGCTGATGCTCGGGGCCTCGATGAACCGAACAGGAATGTTATCAAGTGTCTCTAAGTCCAACGATGAGGCTATCTTTGCCAAGGCGTCCGCCACAGAGTTGTTATCTCTGGGGATCTAGGTGATTGTGAAATGCTTGAACGGCTAGAGCGCGGCCTTAGCTTATTTTAGATAATGGATCATGTTTTCTTCCTTGGCTTGGTATTCTCCTAGGATTTGGTTGACGACCAACATAGAGTCGTTGTGGACGCTGATCGCGGTTGCGCCCATTTCTCTGGCCAACCGTAATCAGGCGAGTAGAGCTTCGTACTCAGCTTCGTTGTTGGTCGCCTTGAATCTGAACCGTAGGATGCCGTGAATGCGAGCCCCTTCGGGACTCAAGAGAAGGAGACCTGCTCCTACCCTTTTCCTGGTCAATGATCCGTCGACATAGAGGTTCTAGGTCGATAGGTTCTGAATGGTCTCTTGGATGACTTCACTGGACTGTTGTTTCTGACTCATTCGGGAGATGGGAGAATTCTAAAATGAAGTCAGCGACAGCTTGCCCTTTGATGGTCGACCTGGGCTTGTACTTCAGGTCGAACTGGCTTAATTCCATGGCCCATTTAAGCAGTTTACCCGAGGCTTTCAGCTTCTGGAGGACGTGCTTGAGGGGGTAATTAGTCATCACATGAATAGTATGGGCGTGGAAGTAAGGTCGCAACTTTCTGGAAACGATCAGCAAATCATAGGCTAACCATTCCATTTTCGGATACCGCATTTCGGCACCCGATAGGCGCTTGCTCACATAGTAGACAGGCCATTGAACTTTTTCCTCTTCTCGAACTAGGGCTGCACTGACTGGAACTACGAGACGGACAGGTACAAGGGCAAAATCTCTTGCAGAAGAGGCTTACAGAGGAGAGGTGGCTTTCCGAGGTGTTCTTTTTATACTCTGGAACGCCTGTTCGCATTTGGGAGTCCATTCGAATTTCTTATTGGCCTTCAGAATATTGAAAAAGGACAAGCAGCGATCTGTTAGCCTCGATATGAAGCGAATAAGTGCTGCTATTCGCCCATTTAGGCTCATGACCCATTTTTTGCTGGTCGGGCTCTCCATATCGAGCAGAGCTTGAATCTTCTCAGGGTTTATTTCTATCCCTCGCTGATTAACCATGTACCCTAGGAACTTTCCTGACGATACTCCGAATGAACACTTGAGAGCATTCAGCTTCATTCTGTAGAGCCGAAGGATGTCAAACATCTCAACGAGATGTGCAACGTGTTCTGAGGCGACCTAGGATTTGACCAGCATGTCGTCCACGTAGACCTCCATTGTTTTTCTGATCTGGTCGGAGAACATTCGGTTAACCAGCCTCTGGTATGTTGCGCCGGCATTCTTGAGGCCGAAAGGCATAACTTTATAACAATACAGCCCCCAGTCTGTAATGAAGGACGTATGCTCCTCGTCTGGGCCATACATCGGGATCTGATTGTATCCCGAGTATGCATCCATGAAACTTAGCAGCTCGTGCCCCGAGGTGGCATCCACGAGCTGGTCGATTCTTGGCAGAAGGAAGCTGTCTTTTGGGTAGGCCTTGTTGAGGTCGCTAAAATCAACGTAGGTCCGTCACTTTTTGTTTGGCTTCTTTACCAGAACCGGGTTGGCAACCCAGGTCGGGTAGAGTGCCTCTCGAATGAACCCATTTCGGAGGAGGTTTTCCACTTCCGACTTCAATGCAGCATACCGCTCCGGATCCATTGCTCTTCTTTTTTGGCGAACTGGCTTGGCCTCGCTGTCGACGTTTAACGCATGGAAAATAATGTCCAGGCTAATCCCGACCATATCTGCATGCGACCATGCGAACACATCGATGTTTTCCCTGAGGAAGCCTGTCAGTTCGCTAGCGAGCTGGGGATTGAGATTTTTATCGACTCTTAAGACCCTGCTCGGCTCTTTCGGGTCGACCAATACTTCAGTTAGGTCCTCAACTGGCCCATTGGAGGGGCAATCTTGAATGCGAGGGTCTAGGTTGTCCTCGGCCGGGCCAAGTCGTGGATTGATCCTGTTGATCGCCATGACATGCCTGTGATTGCCACGCGCGGTGTCCTTTCCTTTGTACGCCATCTGGATTACTTTTACATAGCAATCACGCGATGCGCGCTGAGACCCGCTGACTTCCCCGATCCCCGTCAAGGTGGAGAACTTCATCTTCAGATGGTAAATTGATGTGACCGCCTTGAATCGTCTTAGCAGAGGTCACCCAAGGATCCCATTGAAGGCTAACGGGCAGTCTACCACTAAGAACTCAGTTACCTTGGTCACTTCGTCAAGATCGCCCAGCCTGACTGGGAGTGAGATTGTTCCCTTGGGGAGTAGATGGTCTCCCGTGAATCCGTATAGCAGGAACGAGGCAAGCTTCAGGTCGGCCTCGTCCAGGTTCATCCTTTTGAAAGTGGATACGAGCAGGATGTTCACAGCACTTCCGTTATCCACTAACATTCTCTGGGTGTTATAGCGCCCTATCAAGGGAGTGACTACAAAGGTGTCGTCGTGGGGATGGTGTAACTTGGCCACATCCTGCTCGGAGAAGGAGATTTCCACCTCCCTGCGAACCTTTTATGGTCGCCGTTCCGCACTCATCACTCTAATGGGATCGTGATGTGCTTCACGAGCATACCTTTCTTGGGCACCTCGCGAATTTCCAGTGAAGTACGGTCCCCCCGAGAATCAAGTTGAGACTGAGCACCCATTTCTGATCGCGACGCTTCTTACTTGGCTCCCCCCGATCTTTCTCTTTCGAGGGAGCAGAGTCATTGATGTATTCCTTGAAGTGCCCCTTCTTGATAAGCTCTTCGATTGCTTGTTTCAGAGCTCGACACTCATCAGTATGGTGCCCATTGTCCCGGTGATAGCGATAGTACTTTTTATTATTTCTTGCTGTCGCGGGGGTTTTCATGGGTTCGGGTTCTCCGAGCAGACTGGCTTCTTCGGATTTATCAAGAATGGCAGATACAGAGGCGTTCAGTGGAGTATATTGGGGTCTGTCGCGGTCACGACGAGGAACGGAAGCATAGGACTTTTTGTGCTCGTAGCGGGGTTTCTTCCCTTTTCGCTGATCGCTAATGTCTCCTTTGCGATCAGCTCTCCTACTTTCTCCCCGACCAGACATACTGCCCGAAGCGCCGTGATCACGACGACGCAGTGCTGCCAATGAATTTTCTATACGGAGGTACTTTTCCGCGAGATTATAGAATCTGGTAAGGGAAACATCGTCCTCAGCCTGTAATTCTTTCCACAGGTCGGTCTGCGGGCGAATTCCAACTATAATGAGCGTTCGGATGGACTTTTCGGGGGCATGAACCACCTTGTTGAGCTCCCTGTGGAAACGGTCGATGTAGGATTGTAGGGATTCATCCCTTTCTTGCCTTATGTTGCTGAGATAGCTCAAAGGCATCGAAAACTTTCGATTTGCTTGGAAATGCCGTAGGAACATCGTGCTCATCTGAGGCCACGAACTGATCGATCCCGCTGGGAGCGACCTTAACCAGCGCTTGGCATGGGAAGTTAGAGTCACGGCTAAACAACGGCATTTTGCAAGATCCGAAACCTGGTGGAGCTCCATCAGGTCGTTGAACTCGTTAATAAATATAATTATTGGCACAGATGCTACACTAGTTGAAGGTGGGCCAAATTTAAAAAAAAATATATATATATTAATATGTGCAATTTCTGAATTTTGACATACTCTAACAAAAATATTCATGGACAAAAAAAAATAATATGCAATTAGTTTTTATTTTAGTTCACTATAATATAAATTTTTGGATCCGTCCTTGCCTACTAGAATTCTTATTAGACCAATAGTTTCAAAGTCTCGAGAGATTATTTGAAATACGTGTAAGCTGACATACACAAAAGGAAACAAACTTTATACAATCAATGTATGTAATTACGAATCACAATAATCATAAAAAAAAAAAAAAAAAAAATGTCATAAAAGATATCAATTTATAATATTAGGGTGGAATATATTCGCAAAAGGGCAATTTTGTCGTGAAAATTAGAGTGGTGGAAACCGCAGTTTTTCTAGCATAGAAAGCCGACTGAAGTGAACAGTTGGAAACATGTAAAATGAGTATTTAACTCAGTTCATGCAAGTAACATACTGGTCAGTATGGAAGTGAATCAGAAATACGTTATGCCTCTCCTCTTTCTCTTTCTCTATCTCCCATTTTTCATTTCTATTCCTGCTGCTCAAGCAGCTCCAACAAAGCAAACTGATTCCAAAAACACTACTTTTACAGCTTTCTATGTATTCGGGGACTCAACAGTAGATCCTGGAAATAATGACTACATAGATACAGCTTTTCGAAGCAATTTTCCACCTTATGGAAAAGACTTCTACAACCACATGCCAACAGGAAGGTTCTCTAAAGGGCGCCTTACCACTGATTTTGCAGGTCAGTAGTGTTACATTGTTCTATTGTTCATTTTATTAGCTTCAATTGTGGTTGAAGTTTTTGGTTAATTACTTTTGCTATTGATTGTTTACATATGGCGCAGCTTCATACGTGGGTATCAAAGAATCTGTGCCTCCTTATTTGGACCCAACTCTTTCCATGGAGGAGCTCATTACAGGAGTCAGTTTCGCTTCTGCCGCCTCTGGATTAGATCCACTTACTGCAAGAATAAATGTCTCTCTCTCTCATCAACATTCATCACCAATTTTTGTTTTATTTTTTTTCATTTCCTGGTGTGAGCTGGATTAGATTCAGAGAACTATAAAAATGTTACCGACTCAAGTGGCTGGAGTGCACAAAATTAATTAGTTAATTTAGGTTAATTATTCTTAATTGTTATATATATATTTACAGTAACGTAAAAGTTGGATACTGTTATTGATGTTTACAGTTTTGTTTCCATTTCCATCAGAGTGTGATTGACATGGCAAAGCAACTAGAGTATTTTAAGGAGTACAAAAGGAGAGTGCAGACAACAATTGGAAAGCAAAGAATGGAAAACCATATAAAGAAAGCCGGATTTCTTATTAGCAGTGGTACAAATGACTTCATGGTCAATTATTTTTCTCTACCATTTCGAAGGCAGACTTTTACTGTCTCGGCTTACCAACAGTTTATGTTACGGACAGCTACGCAGTTCATACAGGTTGGCCTCTAAATTTCTGCTATGAATGCATATCCAAAGGACAAATACAATATAAATTTTCTTCATTGTTGCTGACAGCCTTCATTTAATGACTGAGTAATTAGTTGCATTATCATAAATGAATTGTACATATAGGTGTAAGCTATTTAATTTTGATTCACCGTACACAAAATTTAATTTAACCACATGCTTAATTTGTGTTTTTTGGTGTCCTACTCTTACTAACATGTAGATTTCTGGTTGTTCTGTGGCTAAGAGTAGTCGGTATTGTAATGGTGGTTGAATCTGATCATCGATCTGTCATCATCAGCTGTGAATAAGCTTGGTCAAAACAATTTGTAGATATAATCCAAAGTTAATTAAGAACAAAACGAAAACCCAAAAAAGAAAAAAGGTTAATTTTCTCTATATTCTATGATTTTTAATTTCGACAATTTTTTAATATTACGTTAAACATGTTTAGTTTCAATTATTATAAAATATTGAGATGTGTAATTCGAAAGTCTGAATTATATCTTAGTTTTAGAAAACTGATGTATATTCGAATAATAAACCAAACATATGCGAAGTTTTGATTATAATAGTATATACACTATGTCACATATGTGTGTATATCCATATATACACCAAACAGTCTCACTAAAAAAGAAGCATAAATGCTTGAAAAGATAATCTTTTCAGAATTAGGTCTGCTATCAAACTTGTATAAGTACTGTATTGTAGCCAAAGATCTGCGTATAATTTCCGACAGTAAGAAAGTTAACTTTTGTAAAAAGCTTTTGAATCCTTTATTCATCCCGGTGTTGGCCGTTAAGTATTTATGTGACAAATTTGGAGGGAAACTCTCATGATATGTTTTTGTATGAATGAAACTAGAGTTTATGGAAAGAAGAGGCGAGAATTATAGCAGTCTCAGGACTACCTCCAATGGGTTGTTTGCCTGCTGTTATCACACTTTTTTCTGACAACGCCAATATTCTCGAACGTGGTTGCATCGAAAAGTTCAACACCGTTGCACGAGACTTCAATCGAATGCTCCAAAATGAAGTGAATGAACTTAATATCACTAACACTCTTGGTGCAAGACTCTATTATGTAGACATCTATGCACCACTGATCGACATGATACAGGGCCGTAGCAAAGTTGGTAAGCTACCATATTTCTCTTTAGTCTTCTTACGTATCCTTGATATGTATATATATATATATATATATTTTCATATATTTTTTGTTTTGTGTAGAGTTTGATGACGTGAGTAATGGGTGCTGCGGGACTGGATATTTGGAAGCAGCATTCTTATGTAACCCAAAGTCATATGTGTGTGCTGATGCATCTAAATATGTGTTCTGGGATTCGATACACCCAACTGAAGAGACATACGGTAAAATCTTCAACGAATTTCGTTTTGTCCTTGATAATTATATTAAGATGTAAAGTTCTGTGGTCCCATAATATATTATGTTTGGCTTATATATTATGGCTTATATTACGAGAGAATGCGAGAATACATGATATTTTATATAAGAGTTATAAAATACCATAGATAAAATGTCTTAGAAACTAAGATTGTTTTTACTTAAAATACTAGATTGGGTGTAGTTAAAAACTATGATTGTTTTTGTTTTATTACTTGTGTACTAGATTTATGGTGTTCAGGGTTTAGAGTAAGTTCTATTGTTACATCTACTGCTATCATGTTAGTTATTAACATTTTGGTAAGTTCTACTGTCACATCTACTGCTATACTATTATATATTCCTTTTAATTCATATCAAAATTTTAAATAAAATATTTTTTTTTAAAAACATTTCATGTTTTAAATGATATAAAAACTAATATGATAGGCACATACTATTGCATTTATGACTTGAAACTGAAAATAGAAAGGTGTGGGTGTCGTCGACTCGTGTTGGCAAAAATTACAGTAGCTCATTTGCCGTAATGAATCCTAATTTTGTGTAACAAATTCCATTTGTAATTGGTTAGAAGTTATTTCTTATTTATAAGTGGTTTTTCTTCGTATAAAATTGGGTAATTTCTCCATTTGTACACCTCACTCATTATAAGAGTGTCAAAACTAGAAAACATAAAATTGGGTAATTTCTCCTTTATAGTAAATAAATGGTCTAGCCTTTTGTAAGCTATAAAGAGAACCCTCCTAGTTTCTATTTGCATCACTGGCATATTATAAATTTAAAAGAGTGATACCACTCGAAGAGAGTCTTAATTGATATCAGTGAATTGATCATCATTGATTCTCAATTGATATTAGTGGAGACAGCTAAAATCGATCATTGCTAATTCTCAGTTGATACTAAGTACTAACAGATTAATCATCATCAATACTAATTAAGATTTATATTAGTGAATTAATCAAATTAATTATTGTCACTCAAGAATGTATATATCACCTTGATAGTTTGTTATTTATTATTAAACAAACGACATATTCCCGCCCAAAGATTAGCGAAATTGTAAGTTTCTAATCCTGGTTTCATATATTTTAAATTCTCACCCTTAAATTTACCAAAAATTGTTTTATATAAAGATCAAAGGTGGTCATTTGCATTGCATTCAATTTGAAATGAAAATAAAAATTTCAAAATAACCTTCCACATCTAAAACTTCTCTCACAAGCACCCTCATGCCTGATTTTTTTCCAATCGCACGACTCTCATCTTAGGCCCGATCTGGCCTGATTCCGACGTCATTAGTCTCCCTCTACACCATCATCAGCATCCGCGTCCTCCCTATAGCAAAACCCCCATCATTTCCATCTAATTTCTCTCACTAATCGTCGACGGCCGCTAGTTTAGGGTTATGCCTTTTCAAGCCAGATTCTGGCTTATTACGGCTGCCAAAATCTCACTTGTCACCACCCCTAGGATCACCTGTCCCCTTATTAAAACCCCCATCACTCCAACGTCTGATAGTTCGCTAAACGTCATCTGTCGCGCGTTACTCTAACGTGTGACATTGCGTCCTGTAGGCTCGAACAGCGCCGTTGTGTGGCTTCTTCATTTCCCTGCCCTCTTCGTGTCACCTACTGCTCCTAGTCTGCTCTGCGTTGCTACTATTGTTGACTTTGGTTGATTTGTGGTGCCGATTGTGGCAACTGGGTTTGCCCAGCTCGCATGGATGCAATGGATATGCTTCCATCTTCTAGGGAGGTTTTTGATACCTAACCGCCACAATAAAAAATAAAAGGTTCAAGGGTAGTTTGATAATAGCACTCTTTATACTGTGTCAAAACGCAAAAATCACTAACATTGTTAATTTTAGAGGGGTGAGAATCTTGAATTTATGAAATCAGGGGTAAGAACTTGTCATTTTGCGAAACCTTTGGTGGGACATTCGATTACTCTTTATTATTAATAAAGGCACTTTTGTCTAACCTTATCGATAGAGAAGGGTTCCATACATGCAACAACCAAGTCGATATTTTTTAATATATATGTATGGGTTTAACTTTAATCTGCCCTGGGTAGATAAAGGGGTCTTAATCACCGCAAGTCCACAACATTACCTTCAAATATCCATTTTCGATGCCAATTCTTTGGAATCTGTCTCAGTTCCCTCCCAAAGTCTTTGACTTTTTTTTTTTTGGCGCGATCATCTTCTATTATCTGTGCTCATAACTCCTTATCTCAGGACAGGTACAACCGCTCAAATACATTTATGTCAAACCTGTTCAGTTTGATATTTATTTGTTGTTATTAAATTCAATTCATCACCATATTATACATATAGTAATATTTTACATCACTATAATTAAAAATATAATGATTGATGTATATTAATTTGCATAATAATACAACTTTTACAAAATAAACATCCAAATTTTGTATCTAAAGAAAGGTGACGGTTGATTTGTCAAAGCCATATTTATATTAAGTTTATGTGATAAATGATTTGTTTTTGGTAATTCAATTAAATACAATTTACTTTGTAAGTGAAACATTAATAAATTTACTTATTTGTATTGGTTGAGTAAATGACCTTGAAACATTCTTGGAGTAGTGAAAATACTAATTACATTATCCACCATAGAATGCCATTTTAAGTTTCGTCCTCAATTTCAAAGATGAGGAGGACATTACCAAATTATAATTACATTTGCCATTTTCACCAACTGAAGTATAGAAGGCCGTTTTAGACTAATCTAGCTAGCCAACCGGTAATATGACAAACCGATTACTTGGGTAATAGAATAAATCTTATTCTTAAATAGGGGAGACATTTTATTTCATTCATATGAACTAAAGCATTCATTAATTAAAGAAATTCGTTAATTCGATTAATCTAGCTGACCAAGTATTGATTAGCCACAAGTCAAATAATATTATAATATCTTCACTAGCTAACTTCAAATATCACTATCTAACAACATTTTCATACACTAATTAAAGACATTCATTAATTCACACATGATGTATTTATTCATTAATTCAGAATTGATACAATTGGTTGAATTGAATGTAAACAAAATTAGATGTAACATCAATGAAAAGACACAGTACATAAAACAACAAAACATTATAGTTCTTTTTACTTGTTAAAAATATTGTATTCTCAATAATTCTTTAATCAAAGGTGCCTGCCTGGGGGCTAAAATTCCATAAATAATCAGAGCAAGAAACTTTCGTTGAGAGATTTCAGACCCACTTCGGCAATTATTCGATACATCTTTTGTGTTGGGTGGACAGCATCCCAGAATACATATTTTGATGGATCTTCACATACACTTGAACCTTTACATGTATTCCCATATTCTACTGTTCCTGTCCCGCAACACCCCTTTGCAGTTTCAACAAAACCTGCCATTTTTGCACATTTCATCAGTCTTAATGCTTGTTTTGTAAAAGGAATAACTGGATTCACTTAGATATTTCAAAATATACTAACCATATTTTCTGGGGTGGTTTACTGCATCTTGTATGATATTAAAACAGTCCAAATAGGCAGATTTGAGCCGTAAAGTTGCCTTAATGATTGCCAATTTCTCTTGAATCTTGGAGTTGAAAGTGGAAGCTGCTTTGTTGTAGCTTTCTACACAAGTACTCTGGTTCTGGTCCATTAATGTCTTTATAAGTGGCATACATCCCAAGGGAGGGACCCCGACAACGACCAATCTTGTCGCTCCCAGCCTTTTCATTTCCTGAAAATTAACAGAGTAATTAATTCGGGTTTAAAAAACAAGAAGTTCTGTCCAAATTTAATGCAGAAGTTATTTCTGTTGTAATTCTTAACCTAACTTCTTAAAGATGGCTGAAACTTTTACAACCTCCATTCAGAGCTGTGTGAACCCATGCACTTCAATAATTTAAGAATAACATTATATAAATCCATCCGAGTTTTTATATTTCTGTATTAAACAGTATGCCATATCTTATACATAACATAAAATCATTCTTATATTCCAAAATTAGAGGGAGCGAAGAGCACCTTAATGTCCTCAACCATGCGAGAAACCAAGAAATTCTTGTACTCCTCCAAAGTGTATTGCTCGGAGCGAATGGGTTCCAAGTAGTAGTTTTGGAGGAAGTCATTAGTGCCCATACTCATTACAAAAATAGCATTCCTTATTATTTCTTCTGCCTTTTTCACGCCCACCAATTGCCTCAGGTGGATTTTGTAATGCTTAAAATACTCTAATTGTTTGGGTACAGATAATACACTCTGTTTCATCAAAACAAAAACAAAATTTGTGAATTAATCAACCCAGACTCAACAACGTATATTTCATTCAAAAGGTTACGAAAATAACTTACAGAGAAATTGGCAGTAAGTTCATCATAGCCTGAACCAGCAGAAGCAAAACTAACTCCATGTAGTATATCCATCTTACTGATATTCGGGTCAAGAAAAGCCGGAATTGCGTTTGTAAACCCAAGTTCATCAGCTGGAAAAGGAAATATAAACATCAACCTAAGTTCGCAAATATTCTTGAGTCATTATATTGAGCATGCTTTCTCAAATTAGGTGATAGTAATTAATTATGAGCTCCCTAAAATGGAAACATAGAACCCTAAAATGACAGAAAAACATGCATGGGTGAAAATCTTAATGATATAATTGAATGAATAGGAATTACCAATGAAGTCTGTGGCAAGTCTTCCATCACTAAACCTTCCGGTAGGGCGACCATTGAAGAAGTCCTTCCCATAAGGAAGAAAATTACCCTTCATGTCTGTTGCAAGACGGTTGTTGTTACCTGGATCAACACTGGAATCACCGAAAACTAACATACAAGTTATATTGTGTTTGGCAGCCAATTGTTTGAGTTGATTGATGGCCAGAGATTGTGAGACACAAGGCATCAACGCCAACACCAAAACCATAACCAAAACTCTCATCCTTATCAAATTCAAACCCATTATCTGAGGAAGAAAGTTTTAGTTGTTTGATTGTGATCAAACTCATCTCTTCTTAAA